TAATTTATTATATTCACTACATTGTTCATTGTCTTCTTTTTAAATTATCTTGTAATTAAACACCAAAGTTATATTACAAAACATGTTGTATATATTTATTCACCAATTATTTTCTACAAATATAATAAATATTAATATTTTGTTCAATACTTTCACATGATAACTTACGACACATATCTCACAACACATGAAACATGTAGGGGAAAAACTATCACTACTAAATATCAATATGTATTTGTAAGATAAAGAGATCATATTACAACTAAAATCTCAGTCTTATACATAGCAAGACAAATTTAAAGCTTCCTACACTGTAATCTTGCTCATTGCATGATGAATCCCTCTATGCTGCCACCAGTAACCTAATTGCACATGACACACTACCAATAAAAAAAAAAAAAAAAAAGAAGACATGTATTGAAGATGAAAACAATGACAATGCTACCCAAAAGATCGAGAATTAAGAAGAATTAAAGAAATTTAAACCAAAAGTAGTATTTATTTTGACTAAGTATTTAGACTAGCGTTATTACAAAGTTGTAAATATTTATTTTAGTAAAAATTATAATCAATCTCTCATATATTATCTTGAATTTATATACTTTAAATTACCGATTTAAATAAACAAATTCAACATTTATTTAGCTATGCATAAACATCAACTATATAATATTGCATTGATATACTTTAAAATATTTATTTAAAAATAATTATTGAGTCTCTACCAAAAAAACTAAAAATCATTGGGCATTATCCAATTCGCGCAAAGCGCATAGCAAAACTAATAATATATATAAATATAAATGTGCAATCCAACTATTAGAGTGAGGGGGCGTGGTGAGCATATAATATATATAAACATAAATGTGCAATTCAACTATCAGAGCCATCTTCAATTTGGTATCAGAGCCATGCCGAATGTCATGAGTTCGAATCTCCGCGTCACAGAGCCATGCGGAAGGTCATGGGTTCGAATCTCTGCGTCACCCGATAAAAAAAGAGACTATGATCCACATGTTGCTTAGAACCCATCAAAAGTAATCGGCCTGCACACGTGAGAGGATTCAATTGAGGAAAGCAATTAACTAAAAACATTTTCAAAAAACAAAAAAAAAAAGTTATCGATGAAAATATTAAACACTGACTACCAAAAATAAAATTATTGACAACAACAATTTTTTTTTTTTTGAATAACGAAAGAAATGTATGATCACTATCTAAAAGTATGCACTGAGTAAACTATAATCCTGTATAATAACATGTAAATTGCACATATATAAGAAGTAAACTTAATTAATTGAGTAGCTAATTAAGCACTTTGTGCTGAGATGACATGTAGTGACTCTCTCATATGAGAGGTCATAAGATTGAGCCTCAGTAGAGGCGGTGTTGAGAAAGTATAGATGAACATATATTACAATGTAATATAGTCACTAGCTTAAAAAAAAAAAAAAAACTTAATTAAGAAAAACATGTGTAAGAACAAAATTTTGTTATACTTATTCCACAAAATGCAAAGACTGTTGGGAAATAGTTGCAACGTCAACGCACGATTTGGAAGCCTTTTAAGAAGCACGGACACTATGGGCGTATGGTAGAAAGAAAATCTGTGCCGTGTTGTAATAGCACTACCTTAAAAGCGTTATTTGCCCGGTAACGGTGCAGTTAGAACCCTGGCACGCTTTCGACAGGCTACACAGACCTACTACAGATAGCTTGCACTAGCAATCACGTAGACGAACCTCACTATTGCTCAGACTAAAGAAGAAAGAATGGAATAGATGAATCGAAGGTGTATTTTCAATGAACAAAGGAAGTATGCTATATATAGTAATATAGGCTTCACTCCTTAACCACTAATGTCCAAAAGATAAGTTGCACGCCTCATTCTCAACTAAATGAGATTCACTCATTTTGGGAAAAAAGGCAGCCACACAAAATGGATGCTTGGACAAAGTATGACGTGGACCAACAGTTAATAATTTTTCCAACAATCCCCCACAAATTCTTGAGGGTTGGCAAGGATAAAGCCTGAGCAATACAAATGAGCTGATCTTAATGTCAGTGTTTGAGAACTTGAACTGACACGTAGTGACACTGAGTAATTTTCTTCCCGAGAGTGATATGAATCTTGAACTCACCGGTTAGATAAATTTTGAACTCGAATGCACACACCAACTCAAAAAGCATGTTCTACAAAAGTCAAACTCTTTGACTTCTTATGAACACCCTTAGTATTAAAGAATGTTATGTCTGTCTCAAATATGGACTTCTACCCTGTCAAAGTCTATCACAAAATAGACTTTTAACTCTGACAAGTCTTAACGCATTACAGATTTTTATGTCTTATCAAGTCTATCTCAATATAGACTGTTAACTCTATCAAGTCTATCTTAGTATAGACTACCATTAAAGGCTTATAGAGTAGTTGAGGACATAAATAAGTTGTAAGTCTTTTCTTTCTATCATAGGTTGTTATTTGCAATGAAAACGACAGTTTGTAAATCACAATGTGGTGGAGGTGTTGGACACCCCCACAACTGCACGGTTATCACCATGTTTCTTAGCCACTCAGCTTCTTGGGATAACCCTATTATCTTTCATAAGAAGCGGTTAGCCCTTTTCCACTCAAGTCAGGGATCTCTTTCACTACCAGAATTTCGCGATTTTCCGACGGACCAAAAAACGTCGGAAATAATATGATTTGCGTCGCAATTGAAGTTTTCGACATGTTTTCCGACGTAAAATGGAAATCTGAAAATTGCATCTCGGTAAATTTCGTTCCCGACAAAAGTAGTCGGAAATTTCCGACGTACATTTTATTTGTCGTATTATGCGTCGTTAAGCTCCGGGAAGAAACGACCCGTTGTTTCGATTTATTTTCCGACGTATACAACGTCGGTAATTGAAATCTTTTTTATTTTAAAAAATATATTTTCCGACGTACTATTCGTCGGAAAGTTTAAACTCTAACATTAAATGAAAATGTTTACGACGAATGATACGTCGGTAATGTTATATTTTTATTTTGAAACAAATATTTGCCGACATACTTTATGTCGGAAAGTTTAAACTTTATTTTTTGATGAATATGTTTCAGACCAGCCTTACGTCGGTAAGTAAGTGCTTTTAATTATGTAGAATTGGTTTCCTAGGAAGTCTTACGTCTGAAAATTATTAGAAGCAAATGACAATTTTTGATTTCATGCTGGCTTCTACACACTGTCAACACAATATATTTCCACCAACAAAATTTAATAATTTATAATCTAAATACCTCAATCAGTGACTAAATTAACACATGTTTGCTTCATTGCAAAAATATTAACATATATTAGTTTACAATACATCACTCAAATTAAAATATATATTCAAATGCATACAAAATGCTATAATTTGAATGAGCTCCTCTTCTTTCAACTCTTATTAGGACTCCTGCAAAGCACAAGTTTTGAAGTTGGATTAGTATATAATATATAGCAACAATTAATATAACAAATAAAGTGAGTATGTTAATTAAAGCAAAAAAGTTACCACATTACATTCCATTTGCATGGTACTTTAGTTGTCATCATCTTCGTCTTCATCTTCATCATTTATATTATCTTGATCATTATTCTCACTTTGTTCGCTATACTGGTCAGATTCTTCACTAACGGTATCATCAAAAGAACCTTCCAATTCACTTTCTGAATCTAAATCGTTATTGTCATTGATGTGTTCATGAGTTTGTTCAAACAATGAACTTCCATCAACTTCTTCCATTTCATATGGTTCATGCAAGAAGTTTTCTTGGTCCTCCTCATACTCTGCATGTCCAATAGCTCCTGTCAGTATCACTTCTTGTTGGAAGGCTGTATTAAGTTTGTATTGGTCATCAAATGTGCCCCTTGATCTTACATTTATTACAGCTGACCAATTTGACTTGTCTTTAGCACCTCAAGGATATGGCAAATAATAAACTTGAGAAGCATTTTGAGCGATAATGAAGGGGTCATACTTTTGGTATCTTCGGTTTTGCCGCACCTCAACAATGCCATATTCAGAGAGCACTCGAGTACCAATATTATGCATAGGATCAAACCACTCACATTTGAAAGGAACCACCTTTTTTATTGGTAGATTTGGGTACTCAATTTCAACAATCTCATTCAAAATGCCATAGAAATCAGCTTCACCTTCAGCAAGTCCTGTCCCTTTAACACACACTCCACTATTTGTAGTAGATTTGCCATTACAATATGAATAGGTTTGAAACTTATACCCATTCACAATGTATCCAGAGTATGTTTTGACTTCCAACAGTGGACCACATGCTAAATCAATGAGAAATTTGTTTTGTAACCCATCTCTGTAATAATTTACCTAAATTATTTTATACAATTAATGAGCTTAGGCACAATTATAGTAATAAAAAATGTTGTAAACTAAATACATATATAATTGTAATACTTACATAAGTTTGAAACCACTTTGCAAAATAGTTTTCAACTTCTTTGTCCACTTGCGCATTTGTAATCCCAGGATTTAATGCACACAATCCATCTTCAAACATCCTAAAAAACATAATGCTTAATGTAATTTATAATTTGGGTTACATTTTTCTTTAAAAAAATGTTAATGAAAGTTTAATGACTAGTACCTTAGAATTGGTTTTACTTCTTCGCAATTGAGCAAAATATGTTGATGTGCTGCATCGGCTTCTTTTTCATCCATATATGTTTTGCTTGAAGCACCCATAAGGCGGCCTGGAAGGTTGAACACAGATAGTGTATATGGTGTTGCATTATTAACTCCACCATCATCTAAGTTCCGACCAATCCTTGTATGTCTACTTTGCACATGAGCTTCAAAATAATATGAAGCAAAAGTAGTAGTCTCTTCAATGATAAATGCTTCACATATAGAACCTTCTACCCGACTCTTATTCTTTATCTTTCTTTTTAAGAAATTAAGAAATCTTTCAAATGGATACATCCAACGGTATTGCACTGGTCCTCCTAATCTTGCTTCATACGGTAAGTGAACTGGTAAATGCTCCATACAGTCAAAAAATGTTGGAGGAAAAATTCTTTCTAATTTACAAATCAAATGTGCAATGCTCTCTTCTAATTCTTGAACCTTATTCACAAACAGTGTGGCAGAACAAAGATGACGGAAGAAAATGCTTAGTTCTGCTATAACATTCCAACATGTATGGGGTAACAAAGAAAACGCAATTGGCATCAAACATTCCATAAAGATGTGACAGTCATGGCTTTTCAAACCACACAATTTGTTTTCATTAAGATCTACACAGTTTGCTACATTTGATGCAAACCCATCTGGCAACTTCAAATTTTGCACCCACTCACACACAACTCTTTGTTCATCCCGTTCCAAAGTGTAATTAGCTTTCGGCTTAAACACTTTTCCATTATGCTCAACTAAATGTAATTGCGGTCGGTTACAATACTCATGTACATCCAATCGAGACTTTACACTATCTTTATTCTTATTTGTGCCTTTAACATTCATCACAGTATGGAACACATTATCAAAAACATTTTTTTCAATGTGCATAACATCAAGATTGTGCCGGAGCAAATGATCTTTCCAATATACTAAATCCCAAAATATACTCTTCTTCGTCCAGTTATGTGTGTGTCCATAACCAATTTGTCGAGTAATCACACCTTCTGTAATTTTTGGAAAGGTAGATACTCGCTCAAACAACTCATCACCCGTATGTACTTGAGGAATTCTACTCTTTTCTATCATCTTTTTGAGAAACCCTTCTCTATTTCTTCTGAACTGATGGTTGAGATGCAAGAATTGACGGTGGCAATCAAACCAAGAATTTTTCCTAGAATTCTTTAGGTAAAATGCTTTTGAATTATGCATACAATAAGGGCATGCTAGTTTTCCTGCTGTTTGCCAACCCGATAACATCCCATATGCGGGAAAGTCATTAATGGTCCACATTAATGCAGCCTTCATCAAAAAATTTTGTTTCAATGAGATATCATAAGTCACTACACCTGTATCCCACAATAATTTCAATTCATCAATGAGTGGTTGCAAGTACACATCAATTTTTGCCTTAGGATTGCTTTTTCCTGGGATTACACAAGATAAGAACATGTATGGCATTGTCATACACATTGAGGGAGGAAGATTATAGGGCACAACTATGACTGGCCAACATGAATATGTTTTAGCATTCATACCAAATGGAGAAAAGCCATCTGCACACAATCCTAGCCTAACATTCCGAGGTTCTGCAGCAAATTCTGGGTAAATTGTATCAAAGTTTTTCCATGCCTCACCATCTGATGGATGACACATAACATTTGGCTCACGGCGATTTTCAAAGTGCCAACGCATGTGTTTTGCGGAGTTAGGCGATGCATACAACCTTTGCAACCTAGGAATGAGGGGCAAGTAGTGCATTTTTTTTCGTGAAACCTTTTTGAGATGAGATCTGGTATGCCTATCAGTCTTATATCTTGCTTCTCCACAAACTTTACATGAAACTAGTTCCACATCATCCTTGTAGTATAACATACACCCATTCACACAACAATCTATCTTGTCATATCCCAAACCTAATTTACCAATCATTTTTTGTGATTGATAATAGGTTAAAGGCACACGATTAGGACCAAATGCCCGATTATGTAGTTGTAATATTGCATCCATTGCTAGTTGTGGTATGTTAAATGTGGATTTGATGTCCATTATCTTCAAGGTGTATGATAACTCAGTTTCTTCATTGCTTCCGGACCACAGTGGTTGTCTAGCTGACTCTAATAAGTCATAGAATTTCTTTGAAGACTCATGTGGGATGTCACCTTCAACTTCATCAATATTTGGGTTGAAACTTGGACCAGCAATATCACACAACATTGACTCATATTGATTCAATTCTGCATCTTGTGCATTTCCCCTAGAATCATTAATCGTTGCTTCACCACTTTGTTGAGGTAGTTCTTCTCCGTGGCATATCCAAACCCAATAGTTAGGTTCAAATCCTTTTTTGTATAGATGAACCTTAACATCCTCTGGCTTTAAATGATATAGATTTCTACATTTTTTACAAGGACATCTAATCACCTCATTATTTTGATACTCGGACTGTGCAGTTGCAAAGTTCACAAACTCATCAACACCATCAATAAATGCTTCATGTAACCCCCTCCCTGGCATTAATCGATTATACATCCACCTTCGGTGATTGGATATATCATCCATATCTATTCTTCTAATTAAATAAGTGCACATGTAATAAAGTTTAATTAAATGAATTTATCCACAAAATAAAATGATTGTTCCAAAATGCTAGAAAATGTAATCAAATTACATGAAGTACTTAATTATATTAACTAGTTCATTAATATATAACATATTACAGTAATATTTATCAAGAAAACCACAGGCAATATTTACCTTAACAGTTTCATTGTTAACTTAGACTGTCAGTGAAAGTTGAGGAATACTGGAAATTTAACAACACACTAAAATCTAAGAATACTGATAATTTAACAATTAATAGCAATTTCAATGGTTTAAAAAAAATAGCAATTTCAATTATTTTTTTGGGTTTAAGGAGTAGCAGCCGCCGCCACCTGCGGAGCCAGTGCCACTGCCATCGACGGAGGCAGCAGCAGCCTACAGGAGACAGAGACTGCACCACCCTACAGCAGGGCCACATCTCAGCTGTTCTACAGGAGTACATGTAGTATAAACGTATAGAAGAGTAAGAAGACCACTATTCCACTAAGGTACTAACCTCGCCGCCGAACCGCCTCGCAAAGTCGAAGTCGTCACAAGGCCTCCGCTCACAGACTGGTCTCGATGGACTACAATGGAGATGGCAAAATCATTGTAATGAGGCGATGTAGAAGGAAAGAAAGGAGAAGATTGTATCTAGGGCTAAATATTGGGGGAGGACGTGATTCCTCTGGATGTGGAAAGATGAAAAAAGAAGATTGTATATATTTGTTTATTTCAAACACTCAACTCACAGAGAATGTTGATGTTTGCATATTTGTGAAATTTCATCCGCCAAACTTAATAATTCACCCGCGAATTTTAATTTTTTAAATGAAAATTACATCCTTAAATATGCTTTATTATAATTTCATATAACTATTTTTTATTACTTTTAAAACCAACTTATTATATTTAAAATTAAAACAATTATTCTCTATAAAATTTAAAATGAAGATATTATTTTTAAAATTAATATTTAATCTTTAAATTTACATTATTATAATTTCATATAAACCAAGTTATTCTCTAATACTCGTTACGTTGAGCCGTTGAACTAAGTTTAAATTTTAATTAATTGTTTGTTATTGAAAATGCATGACATAACAAGATTTAATCTTTAAATTTACATTATTATAATTTCATATAACTATTTTTTTATTACTTTTAAAACCAACTTATTATATTTAAAATTAAAACAATTATATGAACCAAGTTATTCAAATCTTTTTTCTTTTTTCTTTTTTCAATTCTTATATTATATGAGATAAAAGATGTACAAATTCAATTTATTTTTGTTTTCAGCTGCACTGATGCTTGTCTTGGTCATTATAGCACCTCTCATAAAAGCAATTTGGGGGTTCATCTTCTCCATAGCAATTTTTAGAAAATCATCATCAGTAAAGGAAAAGGTTGCATCAGAGAAGGGATAATTACTAACATCACTTAATATTCATCATCATTTCATTTCATTCCACTACAAAAAAGGCATCACAAAAAAATGATATCCTGCCTTTGGATCAGTTACAAAAGAAATATATATCAACATCTGTTTACAAAAGGGCATAACAGAAAAGGTACCCTGCCTTCAGATGGAATTAGTTACAAAAAATGGGCATTACAAAAAATAGTACATGCATTCTAGCACCTGTGTCATCACCATTAACACTGCTATTCATTCTCCCTTCGCAATACCATGCCCCCATCATCTGTTGCCGTCGAATTAGTTACAAAAAAAGGGCATAACAAAAATCAGTATCTACTTTCTAGCACCTTCACCATAACACAGCTATTCAGTTTCCCTTGGCAATACCATGCCCCCATCATCTGTTGCCGTAACTCCTGTGCCATCACCATCTACACCAACTGACTGATTACCATCATTAACATGTCTCCCAATATTAACACTCTCTTGATTAGATTGATGAATAGAAGAACAATCCATTCCTAACAGCTTTTCTAATGCAACCCTGAAGAGACTATTACTCTTTTCAAGTTCAGTCGTTGACGTAGATCCTCAGTCTCATAAGATGTAGTTGATGAGGATGTGTGTGCTGCTGGAGCTTGGCAACTATGTGAGGAAACGCTAGGAAAGTAAAAAGCAGCATCATTACCAAAACCGGGTACTTGGCCACCCTTTTTCGGTCCACCAACAGCCTTTAACCACATATCAGATTCACTCATCGTTGGTTGAGTCACTTTCAGTTCTTCTACAGTCTCCTACATTGAATAAAACCTTGATGTTAATATGTATATTTTGTATGCACATATACAATGTCATTAATCAACTTACCAAAACCTTTCGTACTTTCACAGAAACAATTTTGCCAGTTTTCTTCTGCGTGTGTGTTTCTCGATATAACAAGTCAGGACTAGGCTCCTGTCCACCATGTTTTTCTTTCTGCAATAATACATAATTAATTATATAAATAAACAGTAGTTAAGTAATACATATAAAGAACTAAGATTATAAATGCATACCAATCGCCTACGATGTTCAGACATGGGTATAGATCCGCAAGTGTGGAGTGAAGAGGGACCTTCATCACCATGTGAACTATTTCTAGACCGTTTATTCTTTTCACACTTGGCAATATAGCTAGGCGTGTTCCATAATTCACAAAGACCCTTGTACACTTCTGGCGTGATCCAATATGGACGGGATTTTTTTGCACGAACATCATAAAGGGTGTTTGAGAGTCTTTCAGAAGCCTTTACATCAAAATTACGTCGAATAGCAGCATCATGCTCAGGACTCCATCTGTACTTTTTCTATGAACATTAAAAAAAGGTTAGGATTTTTAATAAATACAAAAAATAGTGAGCTAGTCTTTTAAATTATTACACTAACCTTGAACTCATTAAACCATACTTCTCTAACCTCGAGGGGTGCTTCCTTGTATGATTTTATAGGTTTCTTGTAATATTTTTTAATACAGTCAATCACAGCACGATTTGCACCATGTGGTTCAAAACCATCTTTCCCAACAGGAATAATCATTGGCAATCCACCCCTCTCCAAAGGCACTTCAGATTGCTCATCATTCCTTGCATCACCTGCATCTGATGCGGCAGTTGGAGGGTTTGTGCCTAGTGAATCATTAGAGGCACTATTAGTCCTACTTGGCCCCTCTATAGGACTTTTAGTGGATGCTGGAGAATGTGGGGTTCGCATATGCCATTGAGCACCAACAATGCGAGCGTCACGAGGGTCACTATTATTACCACAACTCATTCCTAATGATGAGTTACGCCTATCTTGACGTAGGGGTTGAAGTTCTGGACCAGCATTTAGTAAGAACTCCATTGATGGGTGTATGAAAGGGTCGTCCTCCCTGTGACTACCACGATTACGGGAGCTTGATCCAGACTTGCCTTGCCTTGTTAAGCTACGTGGCATCTACAACATTTTGAATATTATGTTTACAATACATATAAGTATATAACAAGCTAAGAAAAAACAAATAAAGTATAAGCTAGTAATTGCAATTTTATATATAGCAAAATAAACTCTCTCACTAATTGATGTACTAATAATGAAGAAGCTAAGTGAGCCAAATACACTTTGTTTGATTTATGGCAAAGTCAACATTGAGTTTTTGCCCTATTATTATTATTATTATTATTATTATTATTATTATTATTATTATTATTATTATTATTATTATTATTATTATTATTATTATTATTATTATTTTTGGAAACAGACAGAGCAGATCATGGTTTACATAATTTTAAGGATTCAAAGTTTGCATTACAGTTTCAAGTAGACTTTAAGACAAAAAACGACAAATATTTGTGTAAAACTCATACTTCAAAATCAAGGATATGATTTAGAGTGTACAACATTGTAAAACCAGACCAAATGCACATCAGAATGTGTACAACATTAAACACAGCCACCAGTAGACATCACCATTGGCAGGCTTCAACTTTCTTTTTCTGCCGGAGCCTATCAAGAACACTGTCTGCATCTCCCTGTGCACGAACAAATCCACAAAAGGCAAAGATGGTGTACTTTCCATCATATACACCATTGTCATTCAAATGACCAGCATTAATCTGGACAGATGCATGATCCTTAGAAGTGATAAGCCTATTTGTGGCCGAGCACTTCCTCGGGATGTAGTACATGATTTGATACTAGCAAAACCTTACAATATTAAACCACCACAGATTGGAGCAAGAGGATGGCGAAGCTGCCTCTTATTAAGTTAGAAGCCAAAAAGCTATTGCCTTTGTCTCTTCTATTCATGTATCACTCATAGAAGAGTCTGATCTTTACTCAGTTCAAACATTCCCCATAAAATATATTATATTTCAAAATAAAAATAAAGCACTTCTAGCAAAAAAAAAAAAATCATAATAACAGAACCAAAAGATAAAAATTGTAGAAACAGCGAACAATATTGAAATAAAGTTCAGCCTATTTATTGTCTTTGAAGGTCTTCTCTCCTTTAAATTTTCAGTTTTTTTAGTCAATCTTGATCAGTTTCATCCTTGTTGAAGTGTTTCTGTTTATAAGCACATTGACAAGAGCAGTACTTTTAGCACCAGTTGTGAATTACTGGTGGCCTGGTTTTCCAATAAACTTGTCTAAGCACGCATCCAAGAAATTCATATGAAGGACAAGAAGTGAAGCACAAATTCATATTAAGGCCAAAAAATTGATAAATTCTAAACCCTAATCTCATCCGCAGTTCAGATTAAAGCCAAGCACGCCCAAAAACAAAACAAAATACCAGAAATAATTAAAAATCCAAAAAAAAAAAAACATAGTTTAACAAAATAAAATACAAAGTGTTTATCCTAGCCAAGAATGATAGTTCTAAATGTCATGCAAACCACAAAAACAAATCTAGACAGAGGAAAGTAAAGAAAATCAGAATAGAAATCCTTAACTTGACTGTTGACTGCCGACGAACTCACATGGAAAGGGAGAAAAGAAGAACAACGGAAGGTTCAGTAGGCCGGTAGAACAA